TTACGTAATCGTGTTACATATTTTGATGTTTTTAAGTTAATATTATTGATTATAAATCAGGAAATTACTAATAAATAATTATTAATGTAGAATATATTGGGCTACAGGCAGTGCCATGGTAATGAGCTAATGCCTATGAAGAAATTTCAACTTTAATATTCGCTTAGTAGAAAATGTAAAGAACTATTAATTGAGATTCAATTCATCAAGCACTAAGCGATTTATACGTATATCAGCGCATGTACAACATCTATATTATAACACTCCAAATAATTGAAATAAATCAAAATTGTTATGCATTTGTTAATTTAAACAATTTATTTTATAACCTCAAAACTAAAGGAGCAGACTCGAACTTTGAAGAAATCCTTAATCAACAGTACTCTCATCATATCATTATTTTGTTGTTTGTTAAAAAAAAGAGCCAATGGGTACTAAATTGATTAAAATTGCAAATTAAACTGGAAGGTTTAATTTTAACCATTTCGATAATTCCTTATTAATCCTAGACAAATGTGGACCTGACATTAATTGTTTAAGACTAAAAACAGCAATTTTAACTATCATATTTTAACTTAAAAAGCATTATCAGCTTCGGATAAATAAAATAAAATATATAATAAATTTCCCCAAATTTACAAAATAATTATTATGGAACGGTACTACATAAAAACAATCATCTTCCTGCCCTCAGAAGGGGTTCTCAATCATTCTACTCCGAAAAAAAGCACAAAACATATATGTTGGATACTCATCGGATGGGTCCCAAAAATTTGCGGAAATAAACGAAAACAAACAGTTATTTTGGGGCCAAACATACCAAGGTATTAGATAAATACTCTACGATGATCTTCGAGGACCTCAGGAGCGGCCTCTAGTCATTCTACCCATTATATGGTCGTATTTGTGAGTCCAGCAGAAGTGACAGAGTATCACTCTAATCAAGCATCTGACCGATTAAGTTACGACCTAACTGCTTTCTCTTATTTTCTACACCTGATATATTCCAACTAGACTTAGTTTTATAACGCTTCAATCTCCCTTCTCAACCTAATTTTTTGGCTTTTGATTATGTTTCATTTACATTGATTCTGCATTATCAAGCATTGAAACCAAGCTCCTATTCACAAACTAAATTATTTTTTTCTGTTGCCTTTACCGACCTTGTATATTTTTTGTTCTCTTCTCTATCTCTACCTATATTTGGCTATTTCTGTCCAGTTATATGCATGGAGCTTCACATCTTTGTTGATTCCATCTATCCATCTAGTTTTTGACCTTCAGCGTGGTTTCTTGCCTACTTTTGAGGTATTCGTTATGGTGTAGTGCCTTCTTGATGGATTGCTCCATGGTAACATATATTGTTTAGGAGCTAAAAAGAGCTCTATATGATACTGGTACTGGTACTGATGGTGGAAACTAGTCCAGCAAGTGGGCCTATCCTTGTCCCTTTTGCCAACCTCTGATGGCTTGAGGTTGCCGCCGCATACTTACCAGAGTGGGAACGTCACGATCCATTTTCCGGGGTCGCCGAGAAATAAAAAATAACCGACCCAGATGAGAATCGAATCCACAACGTTTAGAATCGGGAACTCTGGAATCCAAGCCTTAAAGTGCTCGGCCATCCCGTCTTCCAGCTCTCTATGATAGTTGTTCACCATTGCAATCATCTGAGGAATAATAAAATAGATTGGACGTGCATACACTGATTTCGGTATTTATAATGATAACAATTGAAAAAAGATAAATAATTATTAATTAATAAATGTATTTTCTTAGAAATAGTTGGGAGGAATTACAGTAAGTTTATATTTAATTCAACCTTCAGGGTTTCCTCGAAAAGGCCCAATAGTCGGTAACATCAGTGGATCCATCTATTCCTAAAGCTGATGAACTGCTGAGCCGTCAGTGATTCAGTGGATGAATAAAGGAATGCACTGAATTCCATTTATGGATCTATCGATGAGTTTACGAACTGATGGATTTCCGATGTCTACTAATGAGCTCAGTAACATATAATGAATATAGCTTACATCTAATGGGTACAGCTAAAAGTGGTCACTGCCCAACATGTCAATGCTTGGAGGATCCAAGACACATTGCCTTCAAGTGCAAAAGATTCGAGAAGCGAATAAGAATTAGTTTGGGATCGGATGATTGAGCTAACTTTCTTCGGTCAATGAATAAAGATAATGTCGTGACTTGATAAAGTTTTTGAATGACATAAAAACAGTCATATAATAAAAGTCGCCTCTTATTCTCATTTATTGTAATTCTAATTCATCTCAGTTTTTAACTATTAGTTTTTCTAGTTTAAGTTCCATATAAGTTATAAGTTACAATCAGTGATCATCTATCTATAAATAATTAATATATATCCAGTGTATATTAATATATGATATATGATCCAATTTCTCGGGTCCTCAAGGACCCAGATGAGAATGGAATCAACAACCTTCAGAATCGGGAACACTGAGACCCAAGCTCCAAGTGCCCCGCCATCCTGTCTTCCAGCTCTCTATGATAGTTGTTCCCATTGCAATCATCTTAGGAATATTAATATTATTTCTGGCTCCCTAATTAGCTATTTTAAGTTTTTCATCTAATCAGTAAGATTGGGACATTCTCTCTTTAAAACTTAGGAACTGTTGTGTAGTTCACAATAGTTTCTAAATGGAGAAATCGAAGTCCAAATTAATCAATTAAGTGCTCCCAATAAACAGGAAAGATTTACTTTTCTTAAATAAACATCTAATCTACTTTTTTGGAAGGTTGGCTATGGGATATCTATGCACTCATAAATGATCTATGTCTATTTCTCTTTAACATTCATCAGATCAGTTTTATGATGAAAACTTACCAAAATATGGCCAGTTTAATATTAACTTATTTTTGTTTTAATGCAGACAGAAAGTATTTCTTACCTTATTTTGTCTAGTAGACATTCATTGATCGAATTAAATTGTTTATATATCCATAAAATTTCTTGTAATATACATGATTTATAAACATCATTTGTTTCAAAATAATACTTCTTTTTTATTAAAATAATAAAATATTTTTATTTAATTTGATTCGTAATACAGACGGAAAGTTCAGAAAATTATACTGTAACTTGCCATGATACAGCGTTTACATACCTTTATTTTTTCACTTTTTAAAATTCATTATTACTGGTTGGTCAATGTGAATAATTCACATATTGGTCAGTAAAAATCTATCAAAAGAAAAGAATTCAAAATGTCTTAAGATAGAAAAATCAATTCTCATTTTCTCAGTAATTGCCATAAACCAAGGAAAATAAAATTATTTTTAAACTTCGTACATATTGAAATAAGCTTTATCTTCACTTTTTTTTTTTGTAGGGAATTTAGTAATCTTTTAAACAATGGTGGAACATATATAACAATTTTAAACTCTTTGAGTTATTCACAATTTTTTTTTTTTCCTTCCTAAACTATTTTGCTGAAATTTCTATGGCATGTGACAATTTTTCCCGTCTAAAGGAAAAGAAAATATACAAAATGAGTGTTAAATCATTGTGCATGAAGAATTAATGAAGGGATATACCGATGGATTAATGAATGGTGTAGTGACAAAAAATTTTTTTTAGATATAATTTATCAAGATTATAGTTAAATTGAGAATGATGTAGGCTCAGTGGGTAGGGCTCAAACTTTAAAGCTCAAGGTGCCAAGTTCCAGTCCAGCTGATGGCAGGTAATTATTAATAATGTTTCATCAGCTATGGGTTGAATCTGCTGTTGGGAGACCCTCCTAGACCACACCCAGTTTCTATTAAGTGGGTACTCTTAATTTAAATAATTGATTAGAAGGTACACCTGGTGGTTGAGCGTAATCTCGGTCAAATCACCCCCTTTCACAACTGATGGCCAAGAAACAGTACTTCTTTAGAAATTACTGACCCCAAGAAAAGACACTTCATGGGTTGTAGTGGTATTTTTATATATATACCTCTGCCAGTACCATAATGAAGGGCCTTGAGGGTTCATTACTGTTTATTTATTTAACGGTTGTGCAAGGAGAGGATTTGACAAAGTTTACGCCCAACTGTCGGTTTTCCTCCTTAATTAAGGGTACCTGCCCACTTTATAGAGGCTGGGTGTGCCTCAAGAGGATCTCTCGATCCACGGCAAATGAAACGGAATAAATATTTTATTAGCCACAAGCAAGGATTCAAAACTGGGACCTCGAGCATTGTTAATTCATCACCCGACCACTGAGCTATCCTACTCCTTTTTCAAATGTAAAGAAACATACACAAATAATCATATTAAAAAAATTAACATAATTAAGATAGATACTTTATTCTTAATTTTTTTTTTTTTTTCAAAAAGAAAGAAAATGCCAAGATCAGAAGCAGGGTAAGAAATGGAAGATTTTAGAAATGAAAAGTTTATATTATTCAGCCTGATACAATATGAAGAAGAAAATAAAAATACATCTACAGAAAGTTATGTCTTCTGCAAGAAAACACATCTTCTTTATTTTATTATTCTTAAATGCCAAGTACAAAACTCTAGAACCAATAATAGACAGAAGTACATGAAACTGAGCAAAAATAAAAATTAAAAAAAAAAATTTATATAATATAATATAATAATATAATTATAATAATAATAATATTACGGTAAATGCTCAAGAAAACACGACTTCAATTTTTTTTGTTTTTTAAATAATTTTTTTTTTCTTTAATTATGGTAGTTGTGAGAAACAACAATTTGAGTAGGAAGTAGAGTGCGCAAAGGAGGAGAGCGAGTGGGCGCGCACCGCTACTCAATCACATCACCATCTGACGACAACACTGGGTTTCATTTCTCGGAAAAAGATAACTTTCATACGATTTATATATTTTTTAAAAATATTTTTTGTTTCTTTTTGTTTTCTTGACTAACTTTTTCTCTCTCTCTCTCCCCTCTCTCTCTTTCTCTCTTTGTTGTGTTGTAAATAGATTTGATGTTGACTCTTCATGTCTCACTTTTACTGTCTGTCCGTTGCACGTAATTTTTCTTCAACAGCCTCCTGCGATGCCTCTGATAAGTCTGTCGCCTGTAAAAGCATAAGAATAGATTTAAAATCTTAAAAAAAAATATATATATATATATACAATAACCAAATTTATTAAGATAACAAATATTATACCGATATTATTTCTATTGATTTAGTTATTTTTAGCTTCATTCAATCGGTTTGAGGCATTAAAAAAAAAATAAAAGAAAAAATTTATTTAATTCATTATTACATTTAATTTAATTTATTATTATTACATTTAATCAATAATAGATAAAGGTTCAAAATGACCACAATATTCCTAAAAATATATTCCGCCGATAACAATAATCTTTTTAACAAGGAGAAAATGTTTTATTCCAGGCTATTTTATTATAGCAGGAAATGGCTATTTACAGATTTTCTAAATTAAAAACAACGGCCAATAATCATTTTAAAAATAAAACTAATTGTCGGCAATACTACACCACCGCAATACCATCACTTAATGATAATATGGAACCATTAAGCTTTCATTATTAACAAATTAAATAAATACAAACTTCTCAGAATTTGACCCTTGGTGAATTTGATTTGGTTCAGTTTCTAATTAGGCTCTCCCTAGAGGAGTTCACAATGTAACTAACGTAAATAAATTCATTACAGAATCTATGCTAATTACAAATAAATAATAATATAACACAAAAAAATATTGCATTTTAAGGTCTGATTTATAAAAATAATAATTATGACAATTGTTTTTAAAAAAAAATAGGTGAAAGAAAGATGAGATACGGGTAAGATTGGCAAATCTGTTAGTGATACTATAAGTTATAAAAATTATTTAAATTTCATATCAAATAAATCCTTATATATAAAACCCTGAAAAGTAGGTTTTAATGGATAGCATTATAATGTGACAAAAAGAGAGAAATTAAGAACTAGATTTTATATGAACTTAAAACAAATGATTATAATTAACTAAATACTGCCTACGTGAAGTATTTATTTAAAAAAAAATTTTGATTTGGCTAATAAAAGCCATTATTCATAAGTCATTATAATGTATTAAATTAAAAAATATTGTCAAAGCAAAAACATTTTTATTGGAGATTATCATTGTGGTCTTTTTAAACCTTAATCTATTATTGGTTAAATGTAATTATTAAACACAGATCCCACAAATAATCAAAACCAAAATAAGGTTGTTTATCTTAAAAATACCTCTTGTTCATTTTATGTATTTTATCATTATAAAACTGTTTCCACTATTTGATTGCATATTATGCAAGTTATTAAAACATTTTTCAAGTTCTTTATAAAACTATGCTAAACTAATATTAATGTATAAAATATATTGGGCTACAGGCAGTGCCATGGTTATAAGCTAAAGCCTGTGAAGAAATTTCAACTATAATATTCGCTTAGTAGAAAATGAATAAAACAATTGAATAAGTTTTAATTCATCAAGCACTAAGCGGTATGTAAAAGTAACATATGAATGATTATTTATTATATTAAAGCTAGTGTAAAAACAACTTATATTAAGATATTAAGTTTTTAAATTATATTTTATGTATATATTTGTTTTATAAAAAGGACTAATTGATCCCATAGTTTTTATTTTATTAATAAACAATCCTTTTAGAAAGAAATTCCACTTTCCCTATATTATGAAGTTCCAGTTCTACTTCTACAAAGCCATTTTCAAATATGAAAAACCAAATTATAATTGAAGATATGGATTAAAATATCTCAGAAACTAAAAATCGGACCTGCATACTGTAAGCGAGGGAAATGTTCAGGATTTTATCTTATTTAAAATGAGCTATTATTTATAATTTATATTTCATATTATTAATATCGCATTTTCGATATTTTCACTGCTAACGTGCAATAAAAAGCACATACCTCAATTTTTTTTTTTTGTATACAGTTTACTATTCTATGGTAATAATTGTTTAACTAAAATTGTAAGACTTCAGCTTTCTATATATGCAATTTCTTAAGCTTTTTTTTTTTTTCTTTTTCATCCTGTTAGAGCCGAAATGTTATAACATGAAATAATATTTCTTGTTAAAAGGATTTTTACTTTTGAAATAAAATACCATGGAATTAATGCCTTTTTTTTTAAAAAAAAGATTAATTGTAAATTGATTAAATATATTAATTATCAGTTTATTTTTAATAAATACTGAAATTAAAGTTAGTCAAATACAGGATTCTGAATTTTGTATTGTTTCATGTTAAAGTGGCTATTAACCTGTTAACTGGACGGGACGTATAAATATGTCAAACGTGAACTGTAGTGTGTACAGGTAGGACGTATGAATATGTCCTTGAAATATGTGTTGCGCCCTGGAACGGGTGGGATGTATAGTTTTGTACAACAAAGGTATTAGTCAACGATACATGTTTCGACATGAATTTAAGAAGCGGAGAAAATCATAAATAAAAAAAAGTAATAATATGAAATTACATTCTCCGGGCGTGACGTACTGACACACCCTAGTGAAAGAGTTATATGCTGCATAATTAAAAAGGGAATTTCCCGATTAATAGATGAAGTATGAAAATTAATTTAGACCTTAATTTAATGCGGAAATATCTTTGTTTAAAAACTATTGACGAAAACGATACATTAATGTAATTTAAAAATACCTATATTGAACCCTCTATTTTAATGTATATTTTCAAGATAATTAATTATATAACAGTAAACATACAATAAATATAATATAATAAATATACTTGCCTGTATATACTTCTGTACACCCACTAAAGACTTCTTAAGAGCATCAAAGCTCGAGGAGTACAACATCTTCTTCTTAACTTTGGCGGTGTCTGGGCACCAAGACATAAGGAATAACTTTTGCTTTTTAGAGGCCTGAAATATTTTATCATTTCGATTAGTATATAATTAAAATATTTTATTTGTTTATACATAATAAGTTATGTTTTCTCACTTATTGATCATAGATCTAGTTTAAAAAAATAAACACTTTTAATTTATATATAATGTTTTCTTTATTTGGAGATACTCTGCCCCCCCCCCCTCTTCGTCATATAATTATTTCTTCGGAATTGGGATAACAACCAAACTTGTTTGAAGACTAATTTAATATTAAACCAGGGTCAAAGTATTCTCCGAAACATCTAAATAAAGAAGATATAATGAACTAAGAATGATCAATTTTCTAAATTAGACTTATGGGCAACGAGTGAGAATAAATAATCAACGAAGAAATGTCAAAACCCTGAACTAATACTAAGTTATTATGTCTATAGAAGTTAAAAAGCAGATAACTTAACTTGTTTAGTTTCATATAAATAAGAATTCAAAAATGCCTAATTAAATATAACTTTTATAAAATTATATTGAATATTTAATCGATGAACATAGTACAATATTGAGAAAAGAGATGGTCCTGGATGGCGGTCATAAAAAATATATTAAAATAGTGAAAAATTATTTTGGCAGTTTTGCACGGAACTCCATCCTGACCACATCCCAGATGATGAAGGCATAGACAAGTCGAATCGATAAGTTAAAATAAATAGTTTAATAGCTTTAAGTATAGTATAGTGACTGAAGTTTTTTTTATGATTGCCGCGGACCATATTTTTCCTCATTATTAGAAAATTATAACTAATAATAAAGGCCAGATTTGAATCACCTAAAGATATAATTTGAATCATGCCAAAAAGTGGACTTATTTTTTTCAAAATACTAAACAATTGGACTAAGTTGTTGCTTATCAGCGATAATAAAAAGATTTTTTACAATAGAGAGTAAAGATTTGCATATCAATTAATTTCTTGATTCTTAACATCAGTATGTTTATTTAACATTTATATGTATATATAAATATATATATATAGACATATATAAACACCATAGATATTTATCTTAATATACCTTTTGTTCATTTTATGTATTTATGCCTTAATATTTCATCATTATGAACCTTTTTTTTTTTTAACTATTTGATTGCATATTATAAAACAACATATTTTGATGTTTTTAAGTTAATATTATTGATTATAAATCTGGGAATAACAAATAAATAACTATTAATGTAGAATATATTGGGCTACAGGCAGTGCCATGGTAATGAGCTAATGCCTGTGAAGAAATTTCAACTTTAATATTCGCTTAGTAGAAAATGAATAAAAACAATTGAATAAGTTTTAATTCATCAAGCACTAAGCGGTATGTAAGTATGACATATGATTATTATAAAATACTAGAGCTAGTTTAAAAACAACTTAAAAGGTATAAGAAATAAATGACCAGACTTTAAATGAGCCAATTTCTTTGAAAATCGTATTAGTCCATTTTATATTACATGGATATTTTTACGGGCTTGTATTCCAACGTTATATAATTATATTTTTAAAATAGTAATGTAATTAAATTTATAATGTGAAATGTATTTAATACATTATCATTTTAATGACCTCAAGTGGACTTAAACCACTTAGAAAATCGACAAAATGTGGATATAAAAAATTTATAACATATCAAATATGGGATTTTCAATTGAATCAAACTGTAATTAATGATATTAGCAATTATAAATTGTTATAGTTAATCATACTTATTTACTTTAAGTTAAATAAACAAACAGAAAATACTACAAAGTTTGACACTGTAAATAATGAGGGAAGCATAGAAATTTCAGCGAACAAAAAATTATTATGGCATTAACAGCATTGCCACACAATAATATTATAATATAATGGATATTCAACATCCAGGATCTAATAAAATGAATAATTTCAAGATCAACTTGGGATTCCAATATATTATATTTACGGCTATTACTTAATAATTAGTTCCAGAAAAATATTGAAACTCATTCATTACAAAGCCAAATTATGCACGATGCACAGTACCTGCAGTTTTTAAATTATCATCAATGGATGCTGAAAGCAGCATCACATAATGTTGTCTTGGCATAGCACCATTGTGTTCAACGAGAACATCAAGCAAGCGATGTTTGAACCAGGTGTGATATGTATCTAGCTACATTCGATGGCCATTTACCAGAATAAGTTCTGTCACTAAGCTTATCAAATTCGTTGAAATGTGTAGATAAGAGCTTTCTAAACTAATTTTACTTACAGGACTTTAACGAAGTACATTGGTCTCTGAATTATTTGTTTCAGAATTATAAAAGAAGTTAAAATGTACCCATAATACGTAATTTTTCAAGAAATTCTATCGATTTGAAAATTGATTCTAACATTAATTGCTGAGAAAATTCCAATGTCCATGGCAAAAATAAATGTCAATTTTCAAAACAGAATAAGTTCTGTCACTCACCTTATCAAATTCGTTGAAATGTGTAGATAAGAGCTTTGTAAACTAATTTTACTAACAGGACTTTAACAAAGTATATTAGTCTCTGAATTACTTGTTTCAGAACTATAAAAGAAGTTAAAAAGTACCCATAATAGGTATTTTTTTCAAGAAATTTTATTGATTTGGAAAGTGATTCCGACATTACGCAATCGCCGAGAAAATTCCAATGTTCATGGCAAAAATAAAAGTCAATTTTCAAAACAGAACAAGTTCTGTCACTCAGCTTATCAAATTTGTTGAAATGTGTATATAAGAGCTTTCTGAACTAATTTTACTAGCAGGACTTTAACGGAGTATATTAGTCTCTGAATTACTTGTTTCAGAACTATAAAAGAAGTTAAAAAGTACCCACCCATAATACGTAATTTTTTCAAGAAATTCTATTGATTTGAAAAGTGATTCTGACATTACGTAATCGTGTTACATATTTTGATGTTTTTAAGTTAATATTATTGATTATAAATCAGGAAATTACTAATAAATAATTATTAATGTAGAATATATTGGGCTACAGGCAGTGCCATGGTAATGAGCTAATGCCTATGAAGAAATTTCAACTTTAATATTCGCTTAGTAGAAAATGTAAAGAACTATTAATTGAGATTCAATTCATCAAGCACTAAGCGATTTATACGTATATCAGCGCATGTACAACATCTATATTATAACACTCCAAATAATTGAAATAAATCAAAATTGTTATGCATTTGTTAATTTAAACAATTTATTTTATAACCTCAAAACTAAAGGAGCAGACTCGAACTTTGAAGAAATCCTTAATCAACAGTACTCTCATCATATCATTATTTTGTTGTTTGTTAAAAAAAAGAGCCAATGGGTACTAAATTGATTAAAATTGCAAATTAAACTGGAAGGTTTAATTTTAACCATTTCGATAATTCCTTATTAATCCTAGACAAATGTGGACCTGACATTAATTGTTTAAGACTAAAAACAGCAATTTTAACTATCATATTTTAACTTAAAAAGCATTATCAGCTTCGGACAATTATTAAGTAAAACATTTAAATATTTTATGTAGAATATAATGGGCTACAGGCAATACTATAAAATTAAAGCAAATGCCTGTGAAGAAATTTCAACTTTAATATTCGCTTAGTAGAAAATGTAAAGAACTATTAATTGAGATTCAATTCATCAAGCACTAAGCGATGTATACGTATATCAGTGTATGTACAACACCTATATTAAAACACCTCAAATAATTGAAATACAATTAAAATATTTATGCATTTGTTTATTTAAATAATTTTTGTTTTAACTTCCAAACATACAAGGGATAGACTCAAACTGGAGAAATCCTTAATCAACAGTACTCTCCTCATATCACTATTTTGTTGTTTATTAAAAAAACAGAGCCAATGAGTGTCAAAATTCCAAATTAAACTGAGAGATTTCACCTTTACTATTTTGATAATTTGTTATCAATTCTAGACAAATGCGGACCTAACATTAATCATTTAAGGCTAAAAATAGCAATTATAACTTAAAAAGTGTTATCAGCTTCGGAGAATTAAGTAAAACTGAAGAGAACGATGGTTGGGGTGATCAGTCGAAATAAAAAATAATATTTATTTTTTCTCCTCTTTCCCGTCACTCTATTTTCAATATCTCCATCTCTATTTTGATACATTTACTCATTAATTTTTTTAAATATTATTTAAACGTTTTATTCTTATACACGTAGTCAGTATATTTTAATAGATTTTAAAATATCTTAATTTTCTATATATATCTATTATTTCCTTAAATAACTTCATATTCCTTTTCTCTGTTTTACATTGTATTCTATAGTTACCATTTTTAGTTCTTATGTTATCTTTTTTGATTATGTTTATTTCATTAGTCCACACTTTGTTGCCATTATTATTATTATTTAATGCTTAGTTCTCTGTTCTTGTTATTATTCTACCTACTTCATTTTACTTTTAAGTTTTTCTACCTACATTTTTTAGTCTATACTTTCCACCTTTTTAATTTTGATTCTTTATTATTTAATTATTAAGTTTTTCTACCAACATTTTTTAGTCTATACTTTCCACCTTTTTAATTTTGATTCTTTATTATTTAATGTTAATAGTTTCTCATAAAAAAAACCTGTACCACTACAACCCATGAAGGATCTGGGGTTCAGTACTATTTAGGGAAAGCACTGTTTCTAGGTCAACGGTTGTGCAAGGAGGTGATTTGACCGATATCACGCTCAACCGCCAGGTTTTCCCCCTTAACCAATTATTTAATTAAGGGTACCCACTTTATAGAGGCTGGATGTGCCCCAGGAGGGACTTCTGACCCAAGGTCGCCCCACGGCCAATGAAACAGATAAATAAATTTTCTGCCATGAGCCAGGGTTCGAACTCGGGACCTTTGCATTGGAAGCTCAGTGCCCTACCACTGAGCTACCCCGCTCCCTATAGTTTCTCATACCTATTGTTATCTGGTTCTTTTCTCATCCCTGAACTTCGGGCCAAAATATCAGCAAATATAAAAATAAATATTATTATTTATTTTTGCTATTTTTATTTTGACCGATCACCCCAACTATACTCCTCTTCAATTATTCACTACAGTCAACCATCAACGCACAATTATTAAGTAAAACATTTAAATATTTAATGTAGAATATATTGGGCTACAGGCAATACTATAAAAATAAAAGCTAATGCCTGTGAAGAAATTTCAACTTTAATATTCGCTTAGTAGAAAATGTAAAGAACTATTAAATTGAGATTCAATTCATCAAGCACTAAGCGATAAATAAATCTGTGTGTTTGCATATACAACACATATTTCGGACCACCTCAAATACTCCAATAGAAGTATGTTTCTTATTATTTAAACAATTTGTTTTAATTTTAAACATTTAAGATTAACACAGACACTTAATATGAACAAATCCTTAATTAACAGTACCTTATTAATGTAGATATTTTATTTAATCAAATAAATTCTAACCAATAGGTGCCAAATTTGATAGGGAATTTAGACTTTAATAGTTCTAATACTTATAGAGTCATCTTTACTCTTAAAAAATGAAGACATGACATTTGGTTATTTAAGACTAAAGATAATTGTTATAATGTTAAAACATTCAATCCACTTTATTGACAGTTATAAAGTAGAACATTTAAATATTTAATGTAGAATATATTGGGCTACAGGCAATACTATAAAAATAAAAGCTAATGCCTGTGAAGAAATTTCAACTTTAATATTCGCTTAGTAGAAAATGAAAAGAACAATTAAATTGAGATTCAATTCATCAAGCACTAAGCAGCACAATAACATTTATGGCTAGAAACACCTAAAATACTTATATTTTAATTATTTTTATAATTTTTTTCTTTAATTAACCAATTTGTTTCAATTTTTAAAGTTCTGAGAAATCACAAGATTAAATTAAAGAATAACAATTGATAGCCCGTGGTACAGACATCTTTTTATGAAATTATTAGCATCCACCTGAAACTTCATAAATCGCTTCATCTCATTGTGACTTACAAATATTTGATTTACGAAACTTCTTGAAATTGGGGCGTATTTAATCTGGAGATAGGAAAACTTCGTGTATTTAATTAGGTATTAAAAACATATGAATACCCATTTGCTTTCCATTTGAATCGTAAGATAATTTTATCATGAAATCGAGGAAAAAGGTGCCCTTCAAAAATATTGAGCCGTTTGGCGTCAACTAAATCCCCAAAATGTCAAAATAAGGAGGTTATATAGGCCAAATAGTCCAATATTTTTATAGAGGCCACCTTTTTTCTCGATTTTGTAATAAAATCTTCTTGCAATTCAAGTGGAAAGCAAATGGGTATTCGTGAGTTTTCAGTATCTAATTAAATAGACAAAGTTTACCGATCTTCAGATCGAAAACATCCAAATTCCAAGAATTTTTGTAAATAAAATAGTTGTAAGTTACGATGAGATAAAGCTATTTACAAAGTTTCAGGCAGATGCTAATAATTTTATAAATAGGTGTCTGTACCACGGACTATGAGAATATAACAGTTGAGGTATAGGCAAACAACTTAAGATAGATTAACATTCAACTTACAAACTAGTACATACGATTAAGGGTTTAAAACAAAATAATATGGTAATTGAGTAGAGGAAGAGCTTCTCTTCCTAGAACATAACTTCCGGGCCTAAGATCATCCCACAAAATTATCTCTTAAGTTGTTTGCTAATACTAATAGCCTAATAGAAATTTAATACTAATAGAAAGCTAATACTAATAGAAATTTATTCTATATATATTTTACTTAACCCAGTATTGCATAATTGTGCATTTATTTCTTTTTTTTTTTTTTATTAAAGTAAAAACTTTAATAATTTCAAGATGCCTAATATATTTACTACTAAATGGTAATATAGCCTACCTCGGAAGTGCCCTGACACTGGTGTGTATACTCGAAGTCGAAGAGACCGTAACGGCATTCACCAGTGCCACCTTTTTGAAGGTCTTCCAAAAATTGATCGTAGGCTGCATCTCGAGAGCCTAAACAAGAATAACAAATTTAAAAAAAAAAACAGAAGGGCTTGAAAATAATTCAGAAAAATAAAAATAAGACATATTTATATGTATATATATATTTTTTTTATTATAAATTACTTACCAACAAATTCAACGTCTATTTGCTTCTCATCCCTGATGAAAAATACAACATAGCGATGTTTTTTATCTTTCTTAATTTCTTCGTAAGTAGTTTTACATGCATCCGACACCGTGACTCCCGAAGCCTGAAAAAAATTCAAATTAATGTCAACATTAAAAAATATTAGTATTAAAAAAAAAAGTATTAGTTCTAAAAAAAATAAATAAATGTGTAATTAATATATACTTATATTGTTAACGTTTAATTATTTTTACCTGTACAATATCATTAATTCCTAATTAGAAAATTATTTAGTTAATCTAAAAATCAGAACTGTCTATAGTACGGATTTCTAACAATGGTATGTAACAACACTCTAGGTAGTACGAAAAAAAGAATAATAATCTATGAGAGTTAAAGAAGTAAAGATTGAAGTACTTGGTATTCAATCATAACATTGATGCTTTTAATATACTTTAATGTGCAGAATTTTTGTATTTGTTTTTTCGTTCTATTGTTTTTGTTATGTGAAATTAAAAAGTCATTAATTTTGAATTTCTGAACTTCATTTTTATTGAATAGAAAAACATTTTATAATATTAACATTATAAAATTGTATTTAACATTAAAGTAGCAGTGATAAGACCACAGTTATCTGAAAATTTGATGCGATAAGTAATGATATTAATTTCGTGAATGCTTGTTGTGGTCTGTGGTATTTAAAACTGATAATACAAATTTAAGATGAAATTTGTAGAGAAAAATTTAAAATTAAACTGCTGTAGATTGGTTCTGGATTTTTGAATTCCTTTGATTGTATTATAGCTGAGTTTAGGAACTTGCTCAATGGAATAAGTCATGATTAGTAATTATGTTACAAAATATCCAATACATTCCAGTAAATAAAATTGAGATGGATCAATTTTAACCATAGATGGGCGTATTCATAACCAACAATCAAGAATACAGCAATTATGATTACGTGATTACACAATCACAATCATAATCAGGTTTTTGATTACAATGGTGAGCAGGTAATCGTATCATATTTTTGGACATGGTTAAGGAATTTTTTTTTACTTTTACGGCTTATACCAGCCTAAATATTGCAGTAATAAACTTCTCTGTTGGACATTTAGAATCTCTAGGGTCTCCTTTTTTTATTAAACATTTTAAAATTGTAAACAATTTCAGTTATGCAGATATAATATCCATTTTAATGAACACCTTTTTGGAATAGTAATGGGCGCTCTGAAATTCAATTGTTCTAGTAATGGGCATACCTCAGAAAAATCTAAAGCCTTTATTCAACTATAAAGATAAGATAAAATAAATGTTTAACTCTTAGACTGTTCATAGAAAAGTATGAAACACACTGATCTCAAGATCACTATAGAAACAACAATGTAAGGCATTTTAAAATTTTCTTTTGGGAGCTTAGTTCATACAGTTGTCAATAGACGACATTGTTATTCAATCTAGAAAAAACTGAAACCTTTAAATCAACAAGGAAGCTTATTATTAACATTTAAAGTACAATCTGTCCATCACTGGGTTCCATGTTCATAACTGGTGCGTTCACCCTGATCATTGATTCTGAATTGGGCCATCCCTGGATTTAACTAATAATCGAGTTGTCATGAATATGAACAGTATGGTTTAAAATGTTGATCAATTAAGTTGAGCAAATAAAATAAAGGTTTTAATTATTAAACAATAAATTATGTAAAAGTGTTATAATAAAGTTAATTTATTTTTAGAAAAGTTAACTTAAACTGTTTTAAATACGGTACTCATAAGCTATTATTTATACAGTTAGTTTTCCTCATTATAATAAACGTAAAACAATAGTATTTTTTAATAAAAATAAGAGTAACTGAGAAGTTCAAAAAACTCGTCCAAGGACGATACACGATCCTCAAACGAGAGAAGAAAAAATAGATCCAGACCTATTTATAAATGAAACCCTTTAGCTATGGCAGATATCCAAACAGGGGATGGTTTGCTCTTCTTTAACACATGATAGGCACATGTTGATGTAATTTCCGATAAGGTTATGTTTTAAACACATTTTTTTTTTGGAAAGGAAAAAAAGCATTAATTTTTAAATTGTAATACAAATATAAATTACACAATAGATTGAAATAGTGCTAGAATAAGATAGAAAGTATAAACATCAATCTTAATCATTGGATTTGATGAAGAATTAACGAAGATATGGCATATTAACAATTAACACTCATGTAAATAATATAAACTCTTTTCTCTTTTATAGGAACTGAATCCCTTCACAAGGGGGAGGAGGTTAGGGATGTGGGGTCAGCAATTTTAATAAAACTTTCTTTTGTGACACTAGGTCGAAAAATATTAGATCTATGTTCGCAGGTCTTGCAAATGCGCCCCAGGAGCCAAGAAAACAAGCATTTTATGTAATTTCAAACAAAATTTATGTTATAAATTTTCACCTTTGCTTTGCCCGAATTTTAAGGTTATTACATACAATTGATTTTTTTTTTGTGCAGAATGAAAACAAAATATTGAATATAGTATTAAATGAATTAAAATCTTTTAAATAACAAAAATCAAATTCATTATTCGTGATTTATAAAACTCATAAATACTAATTTGTATAGATATGAAAAATTGCACATTTTAATACTGAATTTTCTAGGTTTGTTTTTCTGGAAATTAACTAAAGTATTCATAACTCTTATGAAGTTATCACAATTTTTGTGGTTGGAAACAAAATTTGAAAGATTTCACAGCCTAAGCAAATATTTCATGCAAACATTTTTCATTTTTCGATTAATATGAAAATTTCTATTTTAGAGCGTTTTGGTGTGTTTCACCCTAAGAATCTCTATACTCAAAGTACATGGCTGGTATAGAAAAAAATATCACAGAAATGTTAGGGTAAAATATTAAACATGAGTCTTAATATTTTTCGACCTAGTATCTCCAAAGAAAGTTTCATTAAACCAGTGAACCCACATCCCTAATCTTACCCCCTGAGTCTTTATATATATGACCTTGCTTCTCGACTATCAAAATGACTTAATTGTCACAGCGTATATATTTGCAGACATCAATTAATTATGTATGAGTAATATTGTTTGGCGATAGTGTCAATTATCTGGCCTCAGGATAATTACGCTGGGGCACCCTATATACATCAGGGGCACTCTCTACTTATTAATTTTTTTTTTTAATTGAAATTTACAACTGTATTAAATGATAAATACAAATAGTAAATATGAAACAAGTAACATGACATGTACAAAATGAAGAGAAACTACCCATTGGTAGCACTCCAATTATATTTCTATATTAGAAGGTCCTGAGGCCATCTTTTCAGACGCCTTGGAGGGTTATCAGGAATAGAAGAGGAAGCATGGTTGGAAACAAGAGGTTTGGATGGTTCAGAAGTTTATAATGGAAGGATAGGTATCTGGATTGAGCCAAATCGGAAAGATATGGCACTACATTAAGGTCATTATGGATGATTTTACAAAGGGTTTTGGATTGTAAGGATTGGATACCAGAGGAATTTAATGATAGGAGAGAAATTTGATAGATTAGTATAGCCTCAAATCTCGATCCTTTAAGTCCAAATAGGCCTTATTATAGTAATATATATATGAGTCTTTTGTAAATAGTTGGAAGTTTAGAGCGTTTGTTTAGTAAGTGCTGCAGTAGTCGAAAACGTCGGGCGGTTTCTAGTGGTTTCAGTCTGGTATGGAGGTATTGAATTTTAAAAATATGAAACGTATTAAAATAATTAATTTTAGCCTATTAATATAGCAACTGTATTAGAGAAATATTGAATGAAATCAAATTCAAATATTAAATGATATAAAACAGCTCAAGATATAAATTTATTAGTTTTTTTGGGGGGGGGGAGGGAGGGGAGGAGGAAGGCTGGAGATGACGTCATTGCCTGGGAGAACGCTGGATGTCTGAGGCATACACTTGCTATTTACATATCTACAGTCGAACTATTTACTAAATCTCGCAAATTAATTATTATTTTATATTTTACCACTAATTGATTTAAACATCGAATTATTTTCGATAAAACTATAGGACAAAAAAAAAAAAAAGAATCTCGAAAGGAAAATCGATTAATACGAGAGGTTATCACTCTCCCTCCATTAAAACACTTTCCCAAAGTGAGTCATCCGAGGCGAGCTAGACAGCGCTGGCATCGACCTAGGTCACCAGATACGTCACCTACAACAGCCTCCTTGAGCGTAGGGTGCTAAATTATTCATAAGGCATTCAGTCATAAATCTGAATTTACCGAAATTGGAAGTGAACTTTAGTGAGGGGGAGGGGGGAAAATTGTTCGCTAGTTTTGAAGTTATACGTTCGCTAAGAACGAACTAAACTGAACAGATACTACCATATACAGAAATGTACATCATTTAAAAAAAATACTCATTTGTATCCTTCAGGTAAAGAATACCATGTCCATTTTTGTATTTAACCAGAGGAGTCAATTATCAATAACTTTGAGCTATTAAAATGTTTTTCTTATTAACTGAACATGTACTCACACACCGGAGGTAAAGGACGCCCATGTCACATTATTGTATTTGTTAACGGAGCTCATTTTCCATAACTATTTGAGATATTAAAATTTGTTTCATAACTACAATATGAATTATTTTATCATTTAAAGCAATATATTTTAATAGTTTAGAAGATTGGCACAATAAAAAAAAACCTTCTGCGTAATCACTTTATCCGTCACGATCGCGTGAAAAATCGATATATTTTTATTCGTACAGTTTCTTTTTAAGTAGGAAAAGAAATTAAGTAAATATCGTAATAAAAAAATAAATAAATGACAACTAAAGACATACATATTAGCTCGTAGTACAGACACCTTTTATCAAATTATTAACATTATTCTGAAACTTCGTAAATAACACGATTTCATATAATCTACAAATATTTTATTTACGCAAACTCTTGGAATTTGAGCGTTTTCAATCTGGAGGTCGGCAAACTTTGTCTATTTAATTAGGTACTAAAAACTAGTAAATAACAATTTGATTTCCACTTTAATCGTAAGATAATTTGAGCACAAAATCCAGAAAAAATATTGAGCCGTTTGGGAGACCTACACCTCTAAATTGTCAAAATAACAAGGTTATATAGGCCAACTAAATGGGAAGAAAATGGGTATTTACCAGTTTTTAGTACCTAATTAAATAAACAAAGTTCACCGACCTCTAGATTGCGGTCCATATCCTATTCCAAGAATTTTCATTAATAAAATACTTGCAGGTTACGATGAGATGAAGCTATTAACGAAGTTTCGTCATTTTATTGCCAAAAGTCATTGACATTTCATAACCTTCAATAACTAAGAATTTTGCTTTTATAAAATAGTAAGGTTATTATAACTAAGTGTAATACATAGCGGTGTTTGTGTCATTTAAGTACATTTACTGTGTTTTTCAAAACAATAAATAAGATCGAATTTCACAAAAAAAAAAAAAGCTTTCAAAGGTTCAGCTCCATCAGAAATGTACGTAATAGTAACTTCTTGTAGTAAATCGATACATCGTTTCGAAACATTTCAAATTAATTGAAACAAGAGATTCGATATAATATCACTGGGTATTGAAAAGAACATACCTACCTAAGAATCGTGGCGATACGGTTATAGATCTAGTTATAAATTCAAATTTACTTTTCCCCAAGTAATAAAACTAATTAGAATACAAATTAATCCACGACATCTAAACAAGGAACAATTACCGTACAAGGATTTGCTTGATGAATAGTAGAGGATGGTGTTACCGCATTCCTTAACGCTTAGTTTATGTTGCCAACCAACAATGGAACTCATAAATATACATATATATATATATATATATATATATACACATATACATATCAGTAAGAATACAACATTATTTTCGTGCTGAATATATTATTTTTAAACTTCGAGGGTTAAACGGGTTTGTTGTCCTTACGACTTTCCTATCGATTTCAGTAATTCAAACAACTAGCGGTCCAGAATTTATTTTATTTTTTTTTTGGGGAGGGGGCTTCAGCCCGAAAGCTTTATTTTTTCATAAAAATAACGATAAATACTTTGGAAAAAAAGAAATAAACAAACTGCCTACATGAAATGGTGTCTAAGTGGTTCCTACAATCCTTTTAAATGTGATTACACGAACAATAATACTTGAAAAAAATATTTTTTAAATATTTTTTTTCCATAAAACATGGTTGAATTTTATCATGTTGGGGAGGGCTTCAGCCGAAAGCTTCCCCCTTCCTCGTGATTCAAATCCCTACAAATGTCAATTAAAAAAACAAAAAAAACAATTAAATTTGGTGTGTAAAATTTAAAACTTTGTAATATTGCTAATACTGGTCCGAATTGGCACTTTTTTTTACCTAGTGGGAAAAGAGGAGTCTTAAAGACATATATTTTCTTAGATTTGTGCCAAATAAGTCAACTATTTCTTCATTAATTGTTCTCCTCTCCCACAAAAAAAAATATTAATCAGGAAGATGGAAGAAGGAAACTTCGACGATGGAGGATAACGAATAAAATTCATTTACAAAACGGTTGTGAACACTTAAAAAAATAAAAATAAAAAGGTTTTCTTATCTTTATAACTATTTGCTAAAAATGAGTTTAAATGCGTTTTTGGAGTCAAGGGAGGGGAGAAAGATTTCTTTAATGTATATTTTTTTAGATTAGCCATAAAAAAGGTTTCTATTTCTTCTTTGATTGTTCTTAAATAGAACATTGTCCACGATGCATCATTAAAAAAAGTTATTTTCTTCAGAACTACATTTTTATTTTTTTCAACTAGTGATTTTTTCATCTCAAAGAATTTTAAATAGAAGAATACAAGATAATTTCATTGATTTTGGTGAAGTCTAAGGATAAACATTAATTTTCCCTATCGGGCATAGGATGCCCGATATGGTATGGGGTTAAAGACATCGGTGGTCAGAACTGTAATAAAATTTAAAAAATACACATGAAATGTATGTAAATGCTTTTTTTGGATTCAGGGCAGGTTTGTTATACTGAAAATAGTAAATGAAAAATTTGACCTGGTAGAAATACTTTCCTCACATCGCCAGCTGTAGAAAAGTGGCTAAACGCGTGGCGTGTGCAAATTGTTCGGCAACCAGATTTCTATTAACTGAAATTTGAATATAAGAAAAAAATTAAGATTTCGCATTCTGGTGCCGGTGTGGCTTTTAAACCTTGAATGCATTTTTCGCCCTTTCCTCCGACTAGGGAAAATTTCCGTATAGAATAAAGGGCTAGGTATGGGTTGACAAAAAAAAGAAAATGGTAGCAATTTTTTTTTTTTTTTTTAATCCTCTTTAGTAAAAGCGGTGAAGAACAATCAAAACATATTTTCTAATAAGTTCACCATGCGTTGCCCGGCAACCTGATAACCGAAGTTATAAATGAAACGATAAAATAATTGAGAGTTCGTGTTCTTTTAACTTGGCATTAATCTCCCGACCTTAACCCCTGGTTCGGGGAAAACCCCGTATAGACTAAAAGGGGGGGGGGTGAGGAGACAAAATAGGGTTAATGAACATTAAACAGAGAAAATATTTGGTTGGTAAATAGCCTCCTGCGGTCGAGCAATAGGACTCCATATCAAAGCAAAATACCAATAAGGATACAACGACCAGACTGAGTGAGGCCGACCATGTTTGGATCTCCTTCCTTCGTGTCCTAAATACCGACTGTATGACCGGGCTAGTCACGATACCAACATTGCTATATTGTATATTAAAGATCTTTTTTTTTTTACATTAGTCCTGATGAAGACCTGCAAGGTGGGTCGACACGTCGGCATAATAATTAAATAATACTATTTCTATAATTTAGTATTTATTTGACCGTCAACCATCTCTAAATCATAATTTTTATAAGTAATAAATACGTCGTTATAAACGCATACGGTTGTAGTTTTTAATTATACGTAACAAAACATATAATTATGGAGTGTGCTTAAGACCATACGATAGACAACAAAACATTAACAAGGCGGGTTAATAATACGAAATATAAATACTTGGTTTTGTTCAATATATTCACAAAGTACAATACACAGAATGTTTCAATTGCGTTTATGAAATTTAATGTTTACATTTAATTAATAAACTAGTTAGTACCACTAGCGGATCCAGAATTTAATTTGGGGGGGGGGGGGCTTCAGCCCGAAACCTTTTTTTCTTTCATAAAAATGACGATAATTACTTTGGAAAAAAATAAAGAAACTAACTATCAATATGAAATGGTGTTTAAGTGATTCCTTAAGTCCTTTTAAATGTGATTACACGAACAATAATACTTCAAGAGATAATTTTTTAATATATTTTTCCATAAAACATGGTTATATTTCACCATTTTGGGGGTGGGGCTTCAGCCCGAAATCCCCTCCCCCCGTGGTTAGTACAAATAAATAGGTTTTATTAATTTCATATTATAACGTAAATAATTCATAACAACGAACATCTTTAGGTGTGAATATCTCCTAAACAAAACATTTGCGGACATACCTTCAGAGGAAATTTTTTTCTTGTTTTGAAGTAAATAGTTCATTTTTGCAGTTTGACAACTTAACCCATTACTTTTAATAAAACCTATTTGATAAATAACTCACAAAAAATCCATGAATCGTTGTTCCATACTTTATTGTAAATACATTTGGATCATTCGAAACATCCAAATCTAATGTCGATTTCAAAAAGTCAGCTTAAGGTTCTATATTCACAAAGTGCAATACACTGAGTGTGTATGAAATATAATGTTTACATTTAATTAATAAAGTAATTAGTACAAATAAATAATTTTATTAATTTCATATAACGTAAATAATTCATAACAACGAAAATCTTTAGGTGTGAATATCTCCTAAACAAAGCATTTGCGGACGGACATAACTTCAGTGAAATTTTTTTTTCTTGTTTTGAGTTCCTTAGTTCATTCTTGCAGTTTGGCCACTTAATCCTATACTTTTACTAAAACTTATTTGCACATTATCTAACAAAAAATCCGTGAATCGTTGTTCCATACTTTGTTGCGATTTCATTGGGATCATTCGAAACATCCAAATCTAATATCGATTTCAAAAAGTCAACTAAGGGTTCCGAAGCGTTTTTGAGAAAACAACCAATCTCTACTCAAAATAATTTGTAATGA